ACCTCAAATTTCATCATGTATTATTTATTTATTTTTTACCACCGTTTCGGGGCAGAAACCGTATTCGATGAGAACGTCCTACTCGTGGTCGTCGCTTGCGACCGCTCTTTCTCGAGCTTAGCCAACCCAATCTTATCCGTGACAGGTGTGGCATTGATGATGTTGTCAAACTCATCATCGTCCTCTCCATTGTCCGAGTCGGGCTCGACATCAGAGTCCGGCTTCAAGTTTTGTGGCCGTGCTATCGACTCGGGTTTCTTCTTCTCCTCTGCCGCGGACGGATTAGAGAACGTCTTTGACGCGAGAACCTTGCGCCGTATCTCCTCCATAGCCGCGTCATCATCGCTGTCGTCTGATATCGCGTAGGGGTCTTCGTCATCCTCTTCCTCTTCTTGGTTTTTTGCGGGCTTCTTGCCCAGGTATATGCCGTCAACACTGTCGCCTTCGCCAGACTCCTCTCCGCTCTCGTCGTCCTCATCATCATCGTCATCCTCCTCCTCGTCAGAGTCCACCATGGCCCTCCTATTTGTGTTTCCTCCCTTCCACATGTCGTCGGCATCAGCATCCTCTCTGCTGTCCGCATACTCCTTGTCGAGCCTGTCCAACCATTCCTCCTGAACCTTCTTCACCCCCTTTTCGTCTTCACTCGCGGCATACTTCTTCAGCAGACTCCCGTTGATCTCCAAGAACGCCTCGCCGTAGGAAAATGGCGCCAGAACCTGCTCCGACCACTCGGGGTGCCCGCAAATGTAAAAAGCCGCCGCCAGCGCCTCGACGCAGTTCAGCTTCCACGGCTTGCCGTAGTTGACGGTATTCGCAGCCACCAAGTACGGCAGCAGCCGCTCGCACTTGCCTCCGACCTTGTTCCACTGGACGTCCTTCATGCGCGCCCAACTGCACTCGACCACGGCGGCGCCGTACTGATCCATGAGGTCGCGGTCGGCCGGGGAGACGGTGTGTTTGCCATTGGGTGTGATGATGACGCCGTTGTGCCTCTGGCCGACGTGGAGATCGCGCATCATGCCCATTCGGATCAGCTTCTTGCCGGAGCACCGCTTGGGGTCGCAGTGGCCGAGATCCCAGCATGCTGCCTTGAAGGATGGGCGGGTGGAGGGGCCGTCGGCGTCGTCGCCATCGCGGGGTTGGCGTTGTCGCGGCGGTCCCGAGTGGAGCTTGCGACCGCGGGAGCTGAAGTTGTCTTTCTTATGGCGGACCATCTTGGAGAGTTAGGGTGCTGTGGGATCGCAAGGTGACTGAACGAATGTATCAGGGTTCAGTATATCCTTGGATGACTTAAAAGTTTGGCGGGGTATTGGAGGGGCAAATCTCAGAAGCGACCAGGAAAACATCAAAGTGCATAACAAGGTTCGAATATGCCAGTAAGCGTGATATCTCCGAATAAGGTAAAGAGGTGTGGAGGGCAAGCACAGGCCACCTTTTGGTGGCTCCTCCTCCCGCGCCGCCTGTCACTCAGCAGCCCCTCGTCACTCGGCCACAGATGCCATCGGTAAGGTACCTATCACAGGGTTCATGAGGGATGCCTGCGCCGACCTAATCCAATCTGTCCAATTCGCAGGCGCTCGCTCGGCCAGCTATTAATTCTTCACGGCCAACCCAATCCACCCACCGACCTTGGATGCGCTTCTCACATTGAGAAACTTGGACGAACGACGAGATCCCCAACTCGCCAAGATAGCTCCCTTACCTCCCCGCCCGAGGCCGCCTACGAACGCAACAGCCGCAACGACGACGATGGAGGCCGCATCAGCAAGAGCTGCGGCCCGAGACCGCTGGGGCGAAATGGGCGCTCCCACGCCGTCCCAGCTCCAGCGCTTCATTCAGGCCGCCTGCAGTCCCGAGAATTACGAGCCGAACCTCGCTCTGAACCTCGAGATCTCCGACCTGATCAATTCCAAGAAGGGCTCCGCCCCACGCGAGGCCGCTGTCGCCATCGTCAGCTACATCAACCATCGCAATCCCAACGTGGCCCTCCTCGCGATCAACCTGCTCGATATCTGCGTCAAGAACTGTGGCTATCCCTTCCACTTGCAGATCAGCACCAAGGAGTTTCTCAATGAGCTCGTCAGAAGGTTCCCCGAGCGACCCCCGATACGGGCGACGAGGGTCCAGATGAAGATCCTCGAGGCGATTGAGGAATGGAGAAGCACGATATGCGAAACGAGCAGGTACAAGGAGGACTTGGGCTTCATCCGGGATATGCATCGTCTTCTGAGCTACAAGGGGTACACGTTCCCCGAGGTCAGGCGGGATGACGCCGCCGTGCTCAACCCCAGCGATGTAAGGCGCTCTTTTTCATCGATGGCAGCGTTTTGGAGCTATACTGACGTGCATAGAACTTGAAATCTGCCGAGGAAATGGAAGAAGAGGAACGCGAGGCGCAATCTGCTAAGCTCCAGGAGCTCATTCGACGAGGCACACCCGAGGACCTGCAGGAGGCAAACCGTCTCATGAAGATTATGGCCGGCTACGATACTCGATCCAAGACCGACTATCGCGCCAAGGCCGCTCAGGAGGTTGCCAAGATCCAAGCCAAGGCTAGGTTGCTCGAAGAGAGACTCGAAGCTTTCCAACAGGGCGACACGATGCAGGATGGAGATGTGTTTTCTGAGCTTGCTGCTGCTCTGTCTAGTGCGCAACCCAAGATTCAGAAGATGTGTGAAGAGGAGTCGGATGACCACGAGGCCGTTGCGAAGTTACTGGAGATTAATGACAGCATACATCGGACAGTGGAGCGATACAAACTCATGAAGAAGGGGGATCTCGAAGCTGCCAAGAAGGTGGCCAGTGGTGCGCCGCTGCCATCGACTTCAGGCCCCTCCAAGAGTGCGGCGCAAGAGCTTTCTTTGATCGACTTTGATGGCGAACCAGAGACAACAAATGGCTCATCATCAAGTCAACCGGCCTCGCAATCAACAGGCATTGAGAACGATCTTCTCGGCCTTTCCATGGACGATTCAGCAAGCTACGGCCAAGGAGGTGCTTTGACTCTGGGGTTCGGAGCAAACTCGAGTAAGTCCAAATATAATCTTTGTTGTTGACGCATCCACATACTGACAAAAATTAGACATCCCAGGGCCGGCGCTACTCTCCTCCGTGACAGAAAACAACAGCGCAAAGGGACCCATGAGCAACACTGCAACACCCCAGCCACCATCCTTCTCGCAGTTCGCTTCTTTCACCTCTCCTTCGGCATCCCAATCTGGCACACCCCAGCCGTCTGGTATGTCTGCCTTCAAGCCACCCCAGCAACAGGCCACAACCTCGAACGACCCCTTTGCCGCCCTCGGATCCCCCATCTTCTCCTCCAAGCCTGCTACTCCAGCTCCCGCCCCTGCTATCGCTCCCGCGCCAGCAGCGCCAGCCGCAAACGACGACGACGAATGGGCCTTTTCGTCAGCCCTCCCTCCCGAAGCGCCTAGTCAGCCTAAGGAGCACAAGGCGACTGTTAGCGATTCCACTGTTAAGATTGAGATGATTGCAGGGAGAACGGGGACGGGCAATGCAATCAATCTCAGCTTCGCCTTCTCGAACAACTCTGCGCAGCCCATCTCAGAGCTTCACTACCAGCTCGCCGCCACAAAGGTCAGTCTTGCGCGTGTCTTTTCCAGACAGGTCATTTCGCTAACATTGATCAGGGTTATGAACTTGGCCTCAGGCCCCAGACTGGGCGAGAGTTGGCTCCCAAGCAGAGCAGAGGAGTGACCCAGTTCGTAGAAGTATGGCATGCTGGGGACAAGAATCGCAAGGTGCAATCCATCAAATTGCGGTGGAGGATTTCTTACAAGGTTGGAGCGGAAGCGAAGAACGAGATGGGAGAGATTACCGAGTTCAGCCTCGCATGATGATTCGGGGGTGCACGGAGGAGTACGGGGAAGAGAGTAAGTAGAAAAGGGGCGTTTTGAAGTGTTGGAAGATGAGCCCGCGCAACTAGCGCAACGCAAAAGAGGTATAGAATCAGGGTATTTAACAATCTGATGAGCCATCAACCAGTAAATCTGTCTAGTACCTCAGTCTCGTAGGTACCTAATGATTTGGCAGACGGGGTCCCTTCCTCGCATCTCCAGTTTCCTCACGTGCTCTAAGTCCGGATGAAATCGAGACGGTCCAATGGTTGAGAAGGAGGCGGACAGTCCCCACCAAAGCACCTGCCTTCCTTCCCATCACAGGATCAAAACTAGACAACCAGAACTGACGAGACCGCCTTGCCCTACCCTTTATCTATTACGTCCCGCGCTTCTGTTCTCGTTGACAGTTGGGCGAGTGGTTCCAAAGTAGCGGCGTGAGAGCGCGGCAGTGAAACCGAATTTACAGACCCTCTTGTTCGCTACTCGGTGGAGGCAGCCCTGTGCGACCTTTGAGGCCTCAAATGGCCGGGTTTAGCACGCGAAGGGGCTAGTCCCGAATCGTTTTGTGGTTTTGACTGTCTGTCTAAATTGATTTCTATTTGTTATAGAGGGATTTAAAATGTTGTGGTGGTGGTGATTGTTTTGCTGCTGTCGAGGTAGGTAGGCGTGTTTGTTTTGATAAGAGCGGGAGCTGTAATGTTTTGTTGTTTCTGTCCTGGTGCTTTTTTGTGATTCTACGAATGCGCGGACGACGGTGGTGGTCGAGGATGGCCGGGCGGGATGAAGACGGGATCGGGGTGGGGCCGTGACGGGCGGGCACTACGGCGTGTGGGGGGCGCCAGGTTTACCCTTTAGCCGCTAAAATGCACGTCCGTTGCGGGATGACCTCAGAGCTCCCGGTGAGATTCCTAGCTTTTTTATTGCGACTTGGACCAAACACTGCCTAGATTGCGGATCTAGAATTGGCACTGGCGTTCTCAACTGCCCATTGCTCCGGCTCGATTTATTGCACTTGGCAAAGAATCTCGTTGCGCAGCGAAAACAGGAGCCGAGTTTTGGCAGAAACCCACAACTGCCTAACGACCGTCGCCTCCAATTCTCCGCCCAGTCGCACGACAAAGATCAACACGAAAGATGGGCTCCGACGAAGAGCACCGTGGCCAGCGGTCACGACGTAGCCTCCACGACGATCAAGACGACGACGAACGGCCCCGCCGAGAACGAGACACCGCAGATCGCGACAGCCACCGCCGCAGACGCAGCAAAGACCGCGGCGACACCCACCGTGACCGCGATCGCGGCTCGGACAGACCACCACGCAAAGAGCGACGAAGATCCCGATCACGCGACAGGCGGGAGACGTCCCGCCGCTCGCGCTCACCAGACCCTTCCGCGCGGAAACGCTCGCGCTCACGAGACCGCGATCGCGGCGATCGCGACAGACACAGGCGGAGGCGATCCCCTCGTGACGACGACCGCAGCAGCAGGGACAAAGACTCCCGTCGCCGCCGACACCGCGACCGCGATCGAAGCCCAAACTCCGACTCAGAAGATACCTCCAAACCCCCAGAGCGCAAACGGCTCACGGCACCCACAAGCCCCATCCGCCGCTCCGGGCCCCTCCCAGACCAAGACGCCTCTTTCGCCGTCTCCAAAGGCGAAGAACCCGAAAAACCAAAAGAGAAACCCAACCTCCGCACAACAGGCCTCCTCGCGGCGGCCTCCAACTCAGTCCAACAAGCCGATGGCACCTCCATCGCGCTAAAATACCACGAACCCGCAGAGGCGCGCAAGCCGCCCGCGCGCGACCAGTGGAAGCTCTTCGTCTTCAAGGGGAGCGACGTGGTCGACACGGTGGACCTGAACCTGCGGAGCTGCTGGCTGATGGGCCGCGAAGCGGCCGTGGTGGATTTTGCGGCCGAGCACCCGAGCATCAGCAAGCAGCACGCCGTGATCCAGTTCCGGCACGTGGAGAAGAGGAACGAGTTCGGGGACCGAATCGGGAAGGTGAAGCCGTACCTCATCGATCTCGAGAGTGCAAACGGGACGGTGCTGAATGGGGACAAGGTTGCCGAGAGTCGGTACTATGAGCTGAGGGATAAGGATATGATTAAGCTGGGGCACAGTACGCGGGAGTACGTGCTCATGCTGGCGCCGAAGGACTAGAGACCAGGAAATGGAGATTCGCTGTGGCCATGGGATGGCTTAGGACAATTTTTTGGTCGCAGGTTCCAAACGCTGTAGAAGTACGGCTTGTCGTCAACAGAAATGTAGAACACCAATTATAGTCACATGAAGAGATGAAGCACCCGTGCGCCATTATCTTCTTTTAATCGTACTCTACCTTTAAACTCCTTGAACAAAGGAAACGCTCGGCCTACAAGGCCGCTTTAGAAGAATACAATAACCAATACACCTCTTCCATTCTGCTTCAACGCCAGCCTCTGGCCTCTCCCAAAGATTACTTTTGTCGCAAGCCTTGAAGTAAGACAGAATTCAAACAAGAGACCCAATCTACCAATTCCGTTCTTCATCATCGACGCCCTCTATGACGTTTTGCGCTATGCTCGGTATCCGAGTGTGATCCCTCCTCAGGCATACGCAGCCCCAGCCCTATGGGACTTGACTCTGGAGGAGACTCTGAGTCTGCCTCGCCAGTTCTGACTTGTCGCGAAAGCTCCACGGCTTCTTCATACCTGCGTTGGAGTCGATCGTCATCTGCCTGAATGCGCCGCCGTTCTGCTTCTTCAATGTTTACTGGAATATCGCCAAATGAGATGAGCCTTCCATCGGTAGTCCTGATACCCCCAGACCCGGATCTAGACATCGGTTCGCTGCTGCCAGGGATAGACCGCGGGCTCATTGTCGGGCTTTCCCGTATGAAGCTAGGAACACGACCGATAGGCAGTCGGCGAGGCATATTGCTGTGACCAAATAGCGTCTCGTCAATGGGCTGTCCCGTCTGCCTATTTCTCCATATGTCGTAAGAAGTCTGGTCCATTTCTATTGGGGAAAGTCGCGGTGAGGGCTCCGTCTCCACCATGGACGGCGCTCGCCGCTGAGGGAGACTTGACCTGACGCTTCCGCTGTTGCTGCTCAAAGCTGTGCCTGCTGAGCCAGTCGCTGTCGCATATCGAGGGTTTGAGCTTGGGTTCCTAGACATTGGCTGCGATGAATACCCATTAGGCGGCGTAGGATCCATATGACTTCCTGGCCGATAGTTGTCCTGATATGTGCTAGATGGAGCCTGCCGCGGCGGTGGCCGATATCCCATATTCTCGGCGGGTAAAACGTTCAGACTCGGGCGGCCTAGACATGGATCAGACTGGGAAAGAACATCATTGTCAGACTCATCCTGGTATGAGTACGGTGGCTGGGAGTTTGAATGCCGATCGAGGGGACGCTGTCGCAGACTACTCTCTTGGTTTGTGACAACGGACAGTCCGGAGGAAAATTGTTGTGGGTAAGCCAGACCCGGGCTGGAGTTCGCTGTTCTCACATCCTCCTGGTATGTGTACGGGAGTTCTTCCGACGATCTTGGAATGGACGAGATCGATGAACCGCTGGAAGAAGCCTTTCCTTGGCCTGATTTTTCATGACGCTTTCCCCCACTGACGGATCTGCCCAAGCGGCGGAGGAATTTTTGAAAGGACGGTTTCGAGGTGGATTCTTGAATTTGCGATTGGCGAGATTGTTCGGTCGATTGAGACGCATTACCAGAACCAGTCAGCTTTGGAAATTGGTTTTCTTTCAACCTGAGAGCTGTGGAAGGCGTGCGGCTGTTCACGGTCTGTAGGCTGTAGACGGACCGATCATCGTAAGCAGCTTTCCTGTCGATTGTCGCGGCCCTTGAAGGGGGAGAAGCGAACGTAGGAAACGAGGGGGTCTCCTCCTCGACTGCGGTGCCTGACACGGCCTTGGCGTAACTTAGAGCTCCAAGCATCGAGGTTGGCCTTACAGATGTACCGGCACTGGAGCTTCTGCCCTTGTCGTGTATGTAGCCACCGCCACGAGGTGGTGGTGGTGACCCCTTTTTTATGTACAGCAGTTCGGCCTCAGCTTCGCTTCTTGCGGAAACTTTGGAGCGACTGGGTGATCTGCCCCCTCTGGAAGACTGAGGTGGGGTGATGAGGCCCCTTGCAGACTCCCGACTGATGCTCACACGAGGATCGTTTGTCGCTACGGCAGTCTCTCTCCATGCTCCTCCACGATCATGGTAGCGCCTGAGTGACTTTTTCTTCACAGACCGGTGTCTGGCCACAACAGTCCACGCAGCGTCGGCCGTGTCATTGTATGGACCTTCTTCAATGTCGGGCGGGTATGGAGTTATGGTTCGATCCTCGGACCCCTGGTACTCAACCGGAGACGCCTGTTCATCCGCATAAGGTACATAAGGCATGTGGAAGTGAAGCGGGTTGTCCGTTGTCAGCGGCAATTTGTATTCTTGCTCTGCAACCGAGTAGGCTCCTGGTGATTGAGGGAGTACAGCGGCACCAGAGGCGTCTGTGGAATGCGACGATAAACTGTTCATACGCTCGAAAACAGAGTTATGGGCGGCTTCCTTTCCGTCGATGATTCGGGTAGAGATAGTCCTCTGTAAGTCGTTGAGGTCTGCGGGCACCTTCGCAAGTCGTTCTTCCAAATCTCTTCTAGCAGCGACAAGGTTCACAGGTCCGGTTCTATTTCTCAACGTCAGTCCTCAACGAGCTTCTCGTAGAGTCGAATCGAATGAAGAGAATAGAGTGATTGAAAACAAAACAGCAAAGAGATTGAATATTCATACAACCATAGGACTTGGACAGGATATTAACGCATAACAGGGGCTGCGATGGGCCTATAAGATGTTTTCCCACTTACTGCGAACTGGGTTGCTCTGTAGACCGGTGAGTCGGACGAACAATGGCATGGCGGTCAATAAGGTCCTTCAACCTCCTGCCGTGCCGAATATATTGTCTGTAGTCTTCGGGAAGGCCAGTGGCAGGCTCATCGTTCATCCTGGTATAGGCCTCATCGAACGACGCGCAGAAGACGCGGATGGCCCGCTCCAGCCAGAAATTCAGCTGTCCCTCCTTGGTAAGAAGTTCAATAAAGAACGCCTGTACAACACTGTGAACACGGAGTGTATCCAAAGGCTCAGGAGTCGCGTCGATACCGCTCTGCGAACTCGAGGAAGAGACGTCATCAGCTTCGTTTCGTTCAATAAGAGCGAAGCTTATTAAAGTAACGAAAGTCTGTGTCAGACTCCTTCTGCCCTTGGTTGTTTCCGTCTTCACAGGTGTACGCTTGTCCAAAGCTCCCAAACCAAGAGCCAGTAGTTCAACCGGCATGAATTGACTGAAGAAGGAGAGTATGTAGATCAGATTCAACGCGGCGTAATTACCGCGACTTTGCAACTGATCTCGAATCGCCATGTATGCAGGAAGCTCGCCAACTTTTGGTGAGTCCCGGAAGGTCTTGAGATACTTTGCGAGCGGTTCTCTAGTGGTATTCATGTTCACAGCAGCGGCATGAATCATCAGAGGGAGGCGACCCATCAGCTGTACCAATTCATGAGCTCGTCTGAGATCATCAGTGTTGTATGGGTGTTTCTTTCCCATCTCTTCGAGCAACAACTCCTGTGCGTCTTGAATCGGCGGTAGAGGCAACTTCATCATGCTGGGGTTGTCAAGAAGATGAGACCCAGGATCGCACCGGTCAGTTGATGTGTAGATAAGACTGCTGTTTGGCCGGTCGGGTATGTATCTGAGAATCGCTTTGTCGTTGACGCGAATGCCATCAAACACCAGCAGCCAATCGCTTGACTCATTGAACCACCGTCTGACGACATCGACCATGTTGTGTGGATTTAACAAGTCCTTCTTATGTTCTTGAGCAGCCATGCCCTTGATAGCCTGGGTTTTCGCAATGCGCCAGAACCCGTCTTCCATGTCTTGCAACGTGGTAGATCTGATCCAGTATGCGCCCCCAGAATACTCGTCCTTGTGATTGAAATAATACTGCCGAGTAAGATGTGTTTTACCGACACCAGGAATGCCCTGAATTAAAACCGCAGATGTCCCCTCTGAACGCCTCTTCGGGTCTTTCAACAGCTTGTGAAGATCTGCAAGATAGTCCTCTCGCCCTTTGAAAAACGAGTTGGGTCGGAATCGGTCAGGATGAACAAAATGAGGACCAGAATTCAAGACTTGGGGAGCGGAGTCAGAAACAGATGCGCACCGGGTGCTTGTCGTGTCAACAGGTGACAATGGTTGAGCTGCTGGAACATATCTATATTCTTGATGCATATGTCAGCATAAAGACTCATAATCGGCTTTCCATCATGACATGGGTTTCCGGGAAAGGAAAGCATACCTGAAATCACAGTCTCTGGAGGACTACCATACTCGCGAGTGATCTCGGCTGCCTCGGATTGTGCTCTAGCTCTCCTGTCGTCCATTTCCATATCCCAACGGGTTCGAATGACTGGCGGAGCCTCTTCTGCCCATGTCCGAATAGCGGTTGAAACGTTTCTGTATCCAGGAGCGCTGCTGCTGTTGAACTTGCACATTCCGGAATGCGGTGCCTCGATGCCGTAGTAAACAACGCCTGGCAGTTGCGGACTGGCCGAACTCGCATCCACCACCGTCACCATTGTTCCTCTGATGTCGGTCTTGTGGTTTTCATGGGCCATGTGGATATTGAAACGCTGGTAAAAGTCGAGAAAATGGCTATTGATGTTTTGCAGAGTCTCGTTGTCCTTCTTCAAGGTTTTGAGGAGCACCGACTCGCTCTCGAACATTTTCTTGGGCGCAATAGCGTCCGCCATCTTTTGCAGAACAATACCCCATGTTGCCATGTCAGATCCGGTGTGTGGCGTTCCTAGGAAGATGATTCCAAAGGTGGAGACGAAGATAGATCTGGCATCCTCTTGGTTCTTGTCTCTCAAGTCATTGGAATAAATGAGGGCTCGTTTGACAAGAATGCCACCCAGGCTGTGTGCGACGAAGATGATGGGATTCCTGTCTGTGCGCTCACTTTTACGATAGAGGGTGAGGTTCGTGACCAGTGTCTGAGCATGCTGGTAGATGAAGTTGTCGCTTGCACTTGTGCTTTTACCGGTTGTATAGACATCTGCGTTGTAGCCATAGACCAAGATATTGGCGCGAGTCTTTCCCAGGGACTGTGGTAGTAGATCTGTGGGCCAGAACACACCTTCGTCATGTTGAGACGGAGACGAAGACGAAGTCCATGTACTTTTGGGGTGACCATTGAGACCATGGACCAGGACGATATCGACGGATGCGTCAGGATGAGTGAAGACAGCACTGATTTCGTACCGTGCAACTTGCTTATTGATGGACCCCTGTGACAGTTAGCACCACAAACCATACCTGTTTTCATTATGAAGTATATCGGCAACACAAAGAAAGAGAGCGAGCTGACAGCCGAGAGAAGGACAAGAGGAAAGGGGAATTGCATGAGGAAGATGGTGTAACAAGGATGCTGACGAGCATAGCGGCGGGCCGTTCCGTAACGCAAACAGGAAGAGAATGAGATGAAAGCTTACCATACTTGCTTACTCGAGTTCGAGTCAGCAGCAGGGGGGTGTTCTCTAACGAATGCTTATTTTCTTCCCACTAATGCGGCTTGTTGTTCTACGATTTGCTGATGTTCATGGGTTTCTTGGACTACCTTATGCGGCTCAAAGTAGAGTCAGGGTTGAAGGTAGAGGGGCCGTCTTTATACTAGGGGACTCCTGCCACCTAAGGTAGTCGCAGAAATCCAAACCTGAGAGCCAAGATGAGGCGGATGAATGTTGCGCGTCGAGTTGATCAAGTAGCGTCCAGCGCCTCGTTCTCAAGTCCTGGGCAGGCGCAGCGCCATAAGTAGGCTGCGAAAGTTAAATAACAGAGAAGGCAGACGGGCCGTGGATGTCCTGGTGATGGAGTGTAGCACGCCGGGCGAGTTGGTCACACTGGAACCGCGGTTCAGGCCGGTGGAGAAAGGATGAGAATAACGGAATAAGAGAGAGAGAAGAGATATCACGAGCCACGGCGGATGCGGAAAGAATCCAAGTGACGATCAAAGGTAGGAAAGAAGAGAGAGACAAGGGCTAGCTTGAAGACTCAGGGGGTAGTGGTAGTGGTAGGCTTGAACAGATGGAAGTTTCGCTGGAGGGGTGTTTAGTTGGAACAGGTGCGTTGTGGTGGATAATGGAACACCTGTTGTGAAGTGCCCCCTGACAGGATGATTTCGAGAGGTCAACTTAACCCCAGAATGCAACAGGGAAAGGGGCAGTTTGAGCAATTTGGGCAGTTTGGGGGAAGGATTTGAAAATCCATTGGTGCCCTGGCCTTGCTGGTTGCTACGGATAGTGTACTTGGTAGTCACGTCACGGCACATCATCTGCAGGTGCGAGATGGCCGGGGTCCTCCACTATCGATGCAACGACGCCTCACCCGGCTTTCGACTGTCAAGACACACCCACAAGTCCACCAGTACATGACACCTACGACACCCCAAGAAAGAGAAGGAGTAGGAGAAGAAGGAGGATGAGGAAACGAAGAAGGAACCTGGAGGGCGGCAACGATGCCGCTAGAGACTTGCCGTTTTGAAACATGCAAACGGCGCCACCGATTTCGTCTCTCTTTGATCTCTTGCCCTTTTGCTCTGCTTGTCTCGTTCTGTGTCTCTGACATACCTGTCTCTGTTCATCTCCATCCTTCCCGCAACCCGCAGCAAAGCGAGAGACAATCGCTCGCCTCTTTGCTGTTTCTGTCATGTCGTCACAAAGCTCCCGTGAGAGTGATGGCTCAACTTTCAGATTTGGCGCATGGGAATGGTCGGGATCAGCCAGGCGCTGGGTCCAGGCCGCGTACAACTGCAAGCAACACGAACAATATGCGCCCGAAAAGACTGTGAAGTGTAATGCGAAGGCGACGGCGTCGCCGCTCTGTCACTTTCGCTTCGATTTCGGTGAAGGCGTAGGCACAGACGAGGAAACAGAGCGGCTACGTAAGCAGCAACGACTTGCAACGCCTGTCGTGATGAAATGATAAAATGTTGACTCACCAGGCTTCGCTGAAGCTGAGCCACTGAGCGGTCTACCAATGGAGAGCGAATGAGGAGACATAGAGTCCTACTTGGGGCGAAGAATCAGTTGCCCTCGCTCCATGTCGATGCGCGAATGCGCTGCACACCCCAGGCTGGTCTGGTGACTCAAAGAGAAGAGGCAATATCGAAAAAGCTCCCAAGCTCAAGCACACACAATATCGTTGAGTTAAGGTACGGAAATCCAGCCTAACGCAAGCCACTGTTTTGTCTCTCTGTCTCGATCCATCCCGCCGCTACGAGATATGCATCATGCAGCGCCGACACGGCCGCTTGTGCCTCTTAGTTTCTGTTTCTAGCACAGCACGGGCCGGGCATCTTGGCACATGCAACTTGAGTTCTGAACACACTCTAAAGCGGGTGAACGTCGAAAGAGGCTGCTACGTTAGTGTGTTCCTGTGACACACGACGACGCCTGCTATTATCTGACCTTTTTTTTTTTTTCTTTTTTTTTTTTTGACAGCCCGACGACAATGCAACATTAGAAATTTTGTGCTACCCAGCTCTCACAGGACTCTTTGCTCCGTCAAATACGACTCTCAAGCAACACGGGTTTGGTCGCATCACCTCTCTAGGTTCCCAATGCCGTCCGATGATACGGTGAAGAATCGGACAGCTGACCAGCGACAAGTGGATCTCCCTTCGATTATCGCGAGTTCGTGACGCCGTCTTGACTCAGGACGGCGCCTACAAACTATCAACGGCTGCCATCGGAACTAGTTCACGACACCAATACTTGACTACCGACTGCACTAGTCAAAAGGGACAGCTATGGAAACTGAGACTTTCAGACCGCTCCTCTAGGCGTCTTTACGAGATGCAAGCGCCTGGTTCCCGTGTTCCCGTTGCAGCCCTTTGACAAAGCCCTGAGTTATGTTGCTACTCCCGGGCTGGAATACAAGTAGTCACTGATCAATCAACACTGCAACCCAGAATACGGCTTGTTTTGCATCGGGGCAACGGAACTAGAATCCAGATTGGTGGGAATCATGGCAAGTTGACGTCTTCGGTTTCGATCCCCTCCCCCTCCTTGTGCCCCCGTTCGTCCCGGCAATTTAACTTCCACCGACTGTTGAGTATCACAGAGTGTTCTTGCCTCGTAGCTGAATTCTCATCTCTTTCATCCGAAACCACTATGAGACGAACATGTTCGTCGAGTGGCTGGCGATCTGGCGTTCACTTCGGATCAGAGTTCAGCCTCGCTTGGGTCTGCCTAACAGACCACATATCCATGCAGTCTTTCAGATACTTCCGAGGCGACTATCCGCCTTACGAACTTCCCCACGGTGTCACGGTTCTAAGGGATGAGCGTCGACGATGCAACATGTTGTGGTCCTCTGTAGCTACCGAGGCACGGGCGTGAACGCCTCTGGTAGACCAAGGTTTGATGCTACATCGACTAGGCTGCACAGAGCTTTGTGACGACGATTTTAACGTCGTTTGGAGTAGAAGAGCTGTCATCATACCTTTCTTTTCCCATAAATGAAATCAGAATATCGTCGAGTCACGTTACAGTCACGACGCACAAAAAAAAAAAAAAAAGTCTTCTTCGCAGGCGCACAAATGAGCGAGCTGTGCACGATCCCGACAGTTTGGATAACCCATCAAGGTTTGAGCACAAGCTCTTGCTACGGACGACTCGGAAATTGATTGAGGCAACCGGACACGAAACTCTGAGGCAGCGGCTGAAATAGAGTAACACGCTGCCGAGCCACTCCAGAAACTCCGCAAATCAAGACCTGAAAAGAGCTAGGCAAAGAGAACAAGTGCTGGAGTGGGAGAGGTGCTATTCGCGTGAGATGAATGTGTTGTCTAGAACTTGCAAGAAACCGAACTGCAAGTGAGGCCTAACTTCCATCGCTACTGATACACTCGCTGAACTTCCAAGCTACTAATGTGACGCCTTACACGGAGTCCGTATGACATCAAAAACTTGTACCATTTCTCTAGCAACTTACCACCCAGCTACTTACCACCATACATCTACCATACTCAGTTCACAATATACCAAAACAACAACAGCCAGAAAACCAACATACCAGTAATCACACCCGTGCTCACAAACCCTCCCCTCCCAGCAGCACCCGACTTCACAGGCACAGGCGGCGCCCAAAAGTAACCCGCCTCACCCTGCTCCCCAGAACCGTAAATAGCCCACTGCACATCAACATGGTTCTCCCTATTCGCCCAGCAGTGCATCATCCCGCTCGCGCCCGTCTGGCCCGTGACATTGTAATCTCGCACCGCGGTGCGGACCAACTCCGCGACGTCCACGCCGCCGACGTACCAGCCCGTCTTGATGCGCGGGAGCGCGTCCGCATAGGGCGGGCGGATGCCAAAGTTGCAGGTGCCGTGGGAGCGGATGCCGAGGATGGTGGTGTTGTCGGTGAAGCCGCGGGCGTACCAGACGTAGCGCTCTTTTGCTGCCTCGTCGGCGAGGAGGAGGCAGTCTGTTGTAAGGGGGGATGTTGCGCGGGTTATGCCTACGAAGGAGGAGGCGCCGCAGATTTCGTCTTCGTAGCGGCGGTTGCCGCGGAAGAAGTAGGGGCCTATGGGTGGGGAGGAGGGGTCTGTTGTTTGGAGGTGGGAGATGTTGCTGATGCTGTCCGAAGGAGAGGACTGGGGAGGGGGAGGGGGGATGTGGTAGGTTATGTTTGTGCTGTTTGGGTGGTGTAGGAAAGGGGGGATGTAGAATGTCAAGGCTGGTGTGATGTTGGCGAGGGTGAGGAGGATGATGGGGAGGGATGTTAGTCTGGTCATTTTTGCGGTGGAAGCTTACCTATACTATGGAACCAAGATGTAATTATTCTGTTTGTGTAGACGAGAGCGGGAGATAATGAACTGTGCTCGTTAGTTGGGGTTGGTAACTTACAAGTTTGATGATGGTTGTGTTGATGTTCAGGTGTGTTCGAGGAGATGGTGTATTGTTGTAGAGTGTTGATGTTTTCTGTCTGGTCTGTCGAGAGAAGAACGAGATAGAAACCTCGGACATGACTGTTGGTTATGTATACCACTCTTCGAGACAGTTTCGTGGGATGGCCTCAAGCTCATTGTGAATAGACAAGGTTACGAAGAATAAAGGTTTTATTGTGTAAGTCCAAACAAGAGGCTGAGCAGCTATCACGTATAAAGAAAGACAAGTCCATTGTAAAGTAGACACAAACTATATAGTTTTCGAGTCTGAACCATGCTTCCTAACGGATTTCCTACATCAAAGAATGCTAATGTCGAATTAACTCTTCCTTGTCGTTGCTAGATGTTGGACAAGAACATTGTGATGGATAGCTTCGGACTAGCTTCGAATGTCTCAACGCCACAAACAGGGCGCAACGGCAACGTTTCAAACATCAATAGAACAGAAAAGACACATATGCTTGCTTGTCAACGTGTTGATTGCATTGAGCGATTGACCGCGTTGAAGCAGTCAGCTACCTAAAATATGGCCGCAGTTGAGAACGCCACCCCCAACTCCCGCCTCCAGAATTTTTGTTTTACCCTTCCCGGTATTTGTTTTTCCGCTTGAAATATTGCAACGCCTATGTAAAATGCAGCAGTGCTCTTTGAAGCACATTTTCCCTTTGTTCATGAGCCATGTTAAATGTCATGCGCGGAACCCGGACCCCCTTGACGATTTGGGTCGCCCCACGCTTATTCCCTTCTGAACCATTTTTGTTGAACTGGGCCTAAGCAAAGCCCAGAGTGGTATATATCGATTCCCTCCCTTGATCTACTCCTTTTCCCACGTCATACTCCCTAGCATACGTGGGATACTTGTCGCCACACAAGCCGCTGGCATGATTTAGATGCCAGCGTCAACGCGCCAGCCCTCAACAGGGAGGGGGAAGCTGCCGCTCCACTCGGCAACCTCCTTGCGGAGGTCGTTGATCTTGGTAACCTGGCCGCCGGCGACGGTGGCCTTGAAGTCCTTGAGCTTGTTGGCCTCCTTGGGCAGGGAAGCCTGGACCTCCTTGCAGATCTTGATGGACTCATCAATGTAGTTGGCGACGCGCTCGAAGTCGGCCTCTCCGAATCCACGGGAGGTCATGGCGGGGGTACCAATACGGAGACCGCAGGGGGTAAGGGCGCTCTTGTCGCCGGGGATGGAGTTCTTGTTGCAGGTGATGTTGATCTGCTCGAGAACGGCCTCAACACGGGCACCGTCCAAGTTGAACTGGCGGAGGTCGAGGAGGACCATGTGGGAGTCGGTGCCGTCGGCGACGAGCTTGTGGCCGAGGGCCTTGAACTTGTTCTCAATGGCCTTGGCGTTGTCAATAACCTTCTGCTGGTAGGCCTTGAAGTCGGGGCTGGCAGCCTGCTTCAGGGCAACGGCGAGGGCAGTGATGGTGTGGTTGTGGGGGCCACCCTGGTGACCGGGGAAGACGGAGAAGTTGATGGGGTTCTCGAGGTCGTAGAGGGTCTCCTGGCCCTTGGCGTTGACGGAGCGGACGCCCTTGCGGAAGAAGATCATGGCACCGCGGGGGCCACGGAGGGACTTGTGGGTGGTGGTGGTGACGATGTCGGCGTACTCGAAGGGGGAGGGAATGACGCCGGCGGCAATGAGACCGGAGATGTGAGCCATGTCGACGACAAGGTAGGCACCGACGGAGTCGGCGATCTTGCGCATGCGGCCGTAGTCGATCAGACGGCAGTAGGCAGAGGTACCGGCGACGAGAACCTTGGGGCGGAAGAGCTGGGCGTTCTTCTCGAGCTGGTCGTAGTCAATGATGCCGGTGTCGAGGTTGACGCGGTAGGGCATGGTCTCGAAGTAGGTAGAGACAGCAGAGATCCTGTGGGCGCGAGAGTCAGTCATGATTCTTCGTGTAAGTGTCACAAGCGTATGGCAACGTACTTCTTGGCAGGGGTCTGGTAGCCGTGGGACAAGTGACCACCGTGGGGAAGGTCAAGACCCATGAGGCGGCCGTGGACGGGCATGATGGCCTGGTAGACCTGAAGGTTGGCGGGAGAGCCAGACAAGCACTGGACGTTGACACCCCACTTGGAGGAGTCGAGGTTGAAGGCCTTGAGGGCACGGTTCTGGCAGAGGACCTCGATCTGGTCGATGTGCTCGTTGCCACCGTAGTATCTGGCACCAGGCTGGCCCTCGGAGTACTTGTTGGACATGGGGGATCCAAGGGCATCGAAGACGGCACGGGAGGTGACGTTCTCGGAGGCGATGAGGATGATGGACTCGCGCTGGCGCTTGATCTCATCCTTCATGATCTCAGCGACCTCAGGGTCGGAGTCAATGAGAGACTTCTCCAACATCTATCGGTGAGTCAGTATACAGCTCTGTAAAACATGGCGGGGCAAAATAGAGTAGACGTACCTCCTTGTGGGAGACGGGGAGGGAGTAGGAACCAGTAGCAGCCATTGTGATGTGTGGTGTTACGAAGGATCGTAGATGTGAAGTTGAAGAAGAGAAGAGAAAGATTCTCGCAAGCAATGGCAAGAGAGAAGTAGATGTAGGAAAAGAAGAGGAAGAGAGGGAGGCCAGCAAGGTTATGAAGGGATGGGGAAAAAGCTTGAGAAAATTTGGCAGAACATCGGAGGGAGCAAAATGTGAATCGAATGCTGAAGCGGTGGGGGTTGGCGGGGTGTGATTGGCGGGGTCGAGCTGTAAGTACTTCGTAGTCGTACGCAGTACGCGGTGGAATTGGAGAAAAAAAGATAAAAAGACTGTGGCGGCCCCTCGATAGGTAGTCGACTGATGGCTTGACAATGGAAAGGCACCACTGGTACGGAGCACTACCTGTATACTTACCCTATGGGCAAGGTATGGCAGGGACAATTCGGAGGCATTTGGTTCGCTAAATTGGGACTCGACAGTTTGCGACTGCGAGCTTGGAGCACTTTGGGCCTTTGGTGGGCTCCCTGTGGTTCCCGGTGTGGCTCACCACCTTGTAAGTGGTTCCCGGTTGGAACGCTAAAACGGCGCTTCCCTGACGTTTCCCTGAACTCACATCCTGTGGCGGGTCTTGTCGACTCCGATTCTGGAACGGTTCCACGAGTCATCGAGGAAACGGACCCCATTTCACGACGACGGGGATGTGGTTGGACCGTTTAGTGTAGCTGCTCGTGCCTCCCCCACCTCAACCGTCTCACGACTCTCGACTCTAGAGCTTCAGTTCAGTCAGGTAGGCTTCGGGTGAGCCGGGACCATCAAGAGCGGACAATTTGTGGCAATTGAATTCTGAGTCAAAGCCATTCTAACAGCTCTTCTTCGAAAAGAATGACAACTCGCACGATTTCTCTTGATTGATGTGCTTCGTGGGTGAGTTCCCAGCCACCTTGTTCCTGAGAAACTGGGGGGAACTGGGGGCCGCACGTCGAGAATACCACCCGAGAAAGAAGAGTCATTCTTGAAACAGACTGCAATGTTCCGTCTCTGCGCTTAGCTACAGCTTCGATTCTAGAAACTCTGTGCTTGAAACATCGTAACCTGCGAGGCAGGATTGCCTTCCAAAAGAGAAGCAATCGCAGCGTTGATAGTACGACCACATCAAAAAACCCCGAGACGTGACAGTTGCGATGTCGGCGAAAGGTGAAAGTCAAGACAGTTGCATTTCTCCTAGCTCATTTCAAGCGCATCTGTGATTGGCCAGTGTCTGAACGACAACTCTACTGCGTAGATAATTCAAGACTTTTCACATCAAACTCTATGCGGCTTTGACGTGAACCATGAGATTCCAGCTTTGAGTTGAGGCACTTGCAAAGTGTGAGTTGGGCCAACACTGAGGCAATTGCGACTACCTGCGTGCAGTTTACCTTAGTCCATCTCCAAAGCGCATTTGGCGCGAGAGAACCTGGAAGGCCTCGATACCTTAGCTCAACAACATGGGTCACGTTTTGCTCCTCGAAAATGCTGACTCATCTAGACCGCATCCACATTGCCCCCGAGCTCCGAGACAGCCTAGCGGAGGATCTATGCTTATGGCCTCAGGTACCAAGGCGTCCGTCCAGATGTAGGCACCTGGGCTTTCAGGCACGCGGCACGCCTCGGATGTTAGAGCAATAAGGTAAGCAAGCCAAGCTTGGCCCACGGATACCCGAGTAAAAGAGAGAGAGAGAGAGAGAGAGAGAGAGAGAGAGAGAGAGAGAGAGAGTCAGGGAATCGGTTACCGAAGGCGAGCTGAGCTATCTTCCTTATCTCATCAATCCACCTCGTTGCGTGATGTCAAGGTCCCCGTCGCAATGTTAGCCCGTTGCTTACCTTGCACTCCAGCGCGTTCAACAGTGCTGCAGTGCATCTCTCTCCGGCGCAGTATCAACTGAGCGGCATCGAGGTGTAGAAGGCTGCAGGGACACGCGATCAGACACGCAAGCTCCGTAATGGCAGCCGCATCACCCTGCGAGTGTGAGAGATGGAGACGGGAGCAGTGTGAGTGTCAGTGTCACCAAGTGTGTGAGAGCTGCCAGGAGCTCTGTCTCGGGCTTCTAACTCGCTGCGTGCCTTGGGCGAGTTGGGGCAGCTCCGCGCCGCCTTAGGTTCCATGGTTGCTCCCCCAGCCAGCTAAAGTGGGCCTTTCGAGCCAACCCCAGCTTTTGATAGGCAGATAAGGTACCTGCACCTATCGGGTGCTGCGTCATGGTCCTTCGTGCCTTGCGGAGGCGAGTGGGCAGGTTGTCACGGGGGCGCAGTTGCTAAGGTAAGTCTGGGTAGTCTGCCACACTTCCAATGCCTGCCACAGCAAAGGTACCTACCTACTTAATAGGTACAGGCGCCGCCCCAGCTTCCGCATCTTCCCCCCGTCAACACATCA